ATAGCTATTGTTTCCACTTTCCATTTAGATATATCACACAAATTTTGATCTATACTATTTTCAATACATATATATTTCACTTCCATTGTGCAGGCTCCTTGGGTTTTCAGTGCAATTTTTTTTTAATTTTCAGTGTGGAAGTCTTTCATTTTCAATTTATATTTTTCACGCTATTGAAAGGGGTGGTTTTTCATTTTTATTTCCCATTTATTTGCTATATAGAAATATAATTGATTTTTATTTTATTTCTTTATTAAAACATTACTTATATTTTTAAACATCTTTGTTCCTTTTTCACCTGTTTCTGGTGGGCAGGAGGGCAGAGGATTGCTGATGTCTGATATAGAAGGAGGCCCTATGATGCTCAAATTGGGGCTTGAGTCTGTTCCCAAGGCAGTGGTATCTGAATACTGAGTAAGATGCACTTCCTGGGTTTGGCTGCAGGCCCTGCAAGGCCTAGACTGGGGCTTGGTTCTATTCCTGAGTAGCTGCTGGCTGAGACTGGAGTCAGTGGTGCTTACCTGGGGGTTGTGAGTATCTATGATATAGAACAAGGCCCAGGCTGTAAGGCTCAGGCTGGGGCACAGGTCAGCTAGAAGGTGATGGTAGTAGAGCGATAAGTGAGCTGCACTTCCCTGGTGTGGCTGATGAGATAAGAGAAAATGCAGAGTGTGAAGTCACTCCAACTAATTATCATTCAGTCAACTGCAGAAAAGACAAAGCTGCTTCTAGTCCATGTGAGATAAATAGTAATTCTTATTGTGGTTCATCATTCAGTGACAACTAGTCATAACACACCTGGTAAAGACACAAACTCCACTGAGATGATTCTGGCTCCAGCCCTCTGAGGAAGTATGGCAAGTCAGCCTTGGGCCCCAGGTTCTCCCTGGCACCCCTCAACGCCTTTTATCCCATTTAGTTTCAGGGCAAGTAGAGGACATAAGGATCACGATGTCTAAGTCCAGCTCCTGCCCCTGAGAAGAGACAGTTCACCTCCCCCCACATCCACAGAAGACATTGATGAGTGAATAACCTAAGACCACAGCTTCCCAATGTGAGCTCCATAGTATGCGCCATGAAAGGCTCATGGGTGTCCCTGACATAGGGGTCCTATCAGCTCTCAAGGGGTCAATCAGGGCAAGGTAGCATCAATGTTTCATATAACTACTATCCCAAATGCTTAAAAACCACAGATATTGAGCCCCATCTTCACACCACACACCAAAATATGGCACTCTTCGTGTGTGTGTCAACATGTAAATACAAAATTAGATAGTGCAGAACACTTACCCACTTCAGGAATGGGTTGGAATTTTGTTGATTTCATGTGTCATTGGGAGCATATTCAAGGTAGCTTTCACTAACCCATAGGCTCTATGAATTTTAGCAGAGTCTAAGTCCAGACCTCATGTTTTCTGAACGCTGTTTATCCACCTGTGATCCCTAATCCCAAGGCCACAGATGACTCAAATTTGAAACTTGGGTGTCATCTTGGCCCCTCTTTGCCCTGCCACACAGGTTTGCCACAAGCACCATCCTAACTAGCCAATGTAAAATACCTCTCAAATCATGCCACTTTTCTCCATCCCATCTCCCACTACTTTTTAGGACACATTTTTTTTAAAGATTTATCTATTTATGCATACAAGAACTGGGGTACAGGCCAGAGGTGTGGGGGGTGAGAAGATTCACAAGAGACAGAGTGGGGAGCAGAACAGGCAGATTGACTGAAATACACTGCTGAGGGGAGCAGCGGGCAAGACGAGAGGTCTGCTGTGCCATGTGGGTAGCTCCCTGGATGGGAATCGAACTCGTGCTGCAGTGGCTGCGGATTGCTTCATAGGTTGTGTCTTAACCCCTTGCGACCCCAGGAGGCCCCTGTTTAGGACACGTATTTTAAAAAGTGTCTTTGCGTTGGATAAAATAGGGACCAGATGCTGGCTCTGTCCTTCCTGGTGATGTGACCTCAGAATGGAGGTCACAACACTCACCTTATTTTGAATGACCAGAGAATAAAATGAACCCTCTTAACTCCCTGTGACACAACAGACTGTGCAATGTTTGACAGAGCTGAGGACAAATGTTGCCACCTTCCTCAGGTTGCCCAGGATCCCTGGGGTTATAGCACCTGAGAGAATGGGAGAGAGAGAGGCAAGAAAGCATGCTTAATCTCTTGCTCTATTGAACACCCCAGTGGCGAGCAGCATGGCTAAGAGCCAGAAGACCCTGTGGGCCTTTGCTGAGCATTCACCCTCTCCTAAGGATCTACCCACTTTCCTCACCTACCTGAGCCTCCCCTTACCTGCAGGATTGTGACGTGATGCACTTGGAGTTAGTGCAAAGGTACAGGCAGAGGAGGAGTCTGGCTTAGCCATATGTCAGAAAACTGATGACGCATGCCTTTGCCTATGGCTGAACTGCCTGTCTCCTTCCTCCCCTCAGTTGCCCTGTGTGCTCTCACAGTTCATCTGACTGTACCAGGGATCATGGAACCCCTCTTTAGATGCACATCTTCACTCGTTCCTAGTCACGGTTGACAGTGGAGGGTCATATTTGATGCTTTCAAGATGATTCTGAACCCACCAGTCAGAGAAGTTAGCAGAACAGGACTTTCTGAAAACCCAGCCAACCACTTCCGGAAGCGCGCAGCCCAAAGACGATGATGGACTTGCCCAAGGTCACACGGAGATCACAGCTTCCACACGCAGGGAGAACTGCAAAGTTAATGGGGAGGCATACGATGCAGTCTCTGAAGCTGGGGCTGACAGAGGAAAGCGACTTCTGCTGTGGGCTTCAGAGTTTAAATGCCTGTACAGAGTGGGAGGCAGGTGACGCCCCAGACTGTGTGGAGCCAGGAGGACTGGAACTGGGTGATGGCAGTGTGAAGCCAAATCAATAGCACAGGTGTTCCTTTCAGGAGCTGATGTGCAGCTGTGGAAAATCCATCCTTCTTGGGCTGCAGTCCGGCAACCATGGCCGAGGAGGAGCCAGCATCACTGAGCTGGGAGGACAGAGCTTTACAGGCCTAAGAAAGATGCGAAACCCGCCAGCACCGCCACCACTGACACCATCCCCACCACACACCTGAGACTGATGTCAGTGTGGAAAGTGACATTGCTGAAAGGTGAAGCAGAAGCAGCCAAGAGTGCCAGCATCTACTTCTGGGAGAAATAACCAGCTCCTGTTTCAGGACCAAGCGCTGGGAAAGCAGAGACATGTGGCAGCAGAGGGGCTTGATCACGGCGCACGGATCTGTGTCTGTGGGTCCCTGGTCTCCCTTTCAAGTGTCTGGCTTCCTCCCTCACCAAGGCAAAGCAGGGTGACAACCATTTCCTTGGGAATCCGTGAATCGGGCCCGACCCTGGGTGGATCCGGCAGGCGAGGGCCATTGTGTGGGTGCACGGGCCTTGCCTGGGGAATTTCATTTAGCAAGTAGGGAGTTCAGACCTTGCATATGAGCACTGCAATGATTGAGCTTAGGTACAGAACATTTGGTTCCCAGCAGTACCGGTGGTGGCGCTACTATACGCTCCCGGTAGGGACTGCTCAGAGACAACCCTACTGTGTGTTTACACCGAAAAGACCCGTGACCATCGCCCAGCCATAGCATGTTGCACACCAAGTGCCAGGCTGAACACACCAAGACCAGATGCCCAGCCTCAGGTGCCCCTCAGCAAGACCCGCTCAAGCCTCGGCACCCTGCACACAAGACCCCACCTCAAGCCCTCTATTGCGTGTGTCAAGACCCACAAAAGCCCCGTTCCAGTGCCAACACCTGCCACCTGCAACAGGGACAGGAGCGACAAGGAGGCCAGGCCCCGGAACTCAGCTCCGTGAGGCGCTGGCCGGCGTTTTGCGTCACAGAGCAAGCACAGAAGAGGGCGACAGGATGCTCTGACCGCATTAACCCTCCCTCTCCACCAGACTAAGGGTCTGAGGGCTCCGGCACTCCTCTTCGTCAGCTGCTGACAGGTTACACGAAGAAGATTGAAAACTAAATAAATGCAAGCACAGCGCCCCAGCAGGAAATAAAAGCAAACAAGGCAGCGCACACGCTTAGGAGACAAGGAGCAGCAAAAACACAAGAAGGAAAAGCTGCAAAAGAAGAACAGAAGTCCAGGGAATTTAAAAAACAACACAGAATTCGAAGACCGAACGGATCAAGACTTCAGAATAACAATTTTAAGAATACGGAATGATGGTCTGGAAGGAATGCAAACACAGAAAGGCAGGGGCAGGATCTCAGAAAGGAGACCAGAAGGAAAAGAGTTTTTCACTAAGCAGATTGAAGATATTCAAACACACAAGCACACGTCCACGTCAGCTGGCAGAAGAGAGACTTGTAGAAGTTGAAGATGCGAGAGCGCAAATGACCCAGGTGCAAGAAGAGAGACAGATAAATCTTAGGAAAACTGAAGAAACTCTAGGAGAACTCTCAGACTCTGGTAGAAGAGGAAACATAAAGACAATGGGTATTGTACAGGTGCAAAAAAAAAAAAAAAAAAAAAGAGCACAGAGAACCTACTCAAAGAAATAATAGCTGAGACCTTCCCAGCACTAAGGAAAGAACTGATGGTGGGAGTGCAGAAGCTGAAAGAAACACAAATCATTAAATACAAAATGACCTGCACCAGGCCACGTC